AGTTCATAGAGATATTACTCTATATGACTTAGAAATTGAAGTTTTTCTATTAGGTTTTGCAAGAATCACTTCAGTGGCTTCTCTTCAGCATTCAGAATAATATTCATTTTTCAAGAGATTGAAAAAGAGCTCAAAATATTCATCCTTTAAGTAGAAATATATATTTTAAATAATCAAGTGATTAATTGAATCAGGATCTGCAGCAGTTTTAACAGAACTTGAGAAGATAGCTGACTCTAATTCATCTTGTGTAAGATCAGGCCATTCCCAGTCATTTTCATCAATGTAGTTGAGAAGTGATATATTCTCTTTCTCTGAATCTGAATCTGAATCTGGTGAGTTCTGAAAGAGAATTCTCATGAAAGCTTGACATTTTTTCTTAAAAGAGTTTGCTGTGTATGATTCATTCTGAAACTCATATTCTAAGGCTGGAAGTTTTGCTACACTTCTTGTTTTAGTATAGTTAAAAGCTTTAAAAACTTTCTTCTCTTATACTTCTTCAAGAAATTTATTCCAGCAGTCTGTTTTAACTCTTTTAATATCTGAAAAATATTCATTTCTGACAGCTTTGAACTCTTCATCAGATATTACATCATTCTTTCAATCTCTTCTAGCAGTAGCTAATTCTTTTCTTTTAGATGAGATATTCTCATTCTATCAAGGTTTTGAATACTCAGAAGATTTTCTCTTTAGAATATTATCTCTAACACTTATTAGAATAATAGATGTAATAAGCTTCACTCTATTCTCAAGCATTTCATTTGAGATATCTTGACCAGAATTTCAATATAGCTTATTCTATCTTTCAGATTTTAACAGTTTTATGCTTTCTTCAACTGCTTTTCAATCAGCTTTTTCAAAGTTATACTGATTAGAGAGAAGAGGATTTTCACTCATTTGTTTTTCACTCAGTTCAATATCAAATTGAATAATCTCATGATCTGATTCTGATGTCTCATTTGAATTAATAAATCAGTTTACAAGTCTTCTTTTCATTAGATTTTGTGACATGAAGATTAGATCTATAATAGATTTCTGTTTCATGTCTTTTCTAAAGAATGTTTGTTGATCAGACTTATTAACCAAATCTATTGAATGCTCAAAGGTTCATTCAATCAGATTATCAGCTCTCACTGCTCTCTTGCATTCTGAATTTCATCAGAAATGATGTGCATTGAAATCTCCTGCAATTATAGAGTTTCTTGATAAAGTTATGTTCAGAAATTCTCTATCAATTGTTCAGATATTGTTATTTTTCTTCAATGACTTTTCATTATAGATATTTATGAGCTGTATAGTATCAAACTCATTTTCTTTATCTATAATATCACTCACCAGAATATCAGGGTCAGACATGATATCAAATCTTAGATTAAATTGATATCTTGATCTCTTTCTTTCATAGATTACTACTCTTGACTTTATCTCAGACTTTTGAGATAGAAAGCAGTAGTAGCTTGAATGAGAAATGATGTAATTTTACTCAGTATCAAAATTCGGTTCCTGAAGTAGTACAAAATCAACTTTTTATTCAAATGCAATTTGAAGACAAGAATAAATACAATTTGAGTTTCTATTCACATTATTTTGAATAAATGTGATTTTTGAAGAGTTTTTAAACTTTTTTTGTTGTTTTTGTTGTATATTCATACTAAAAGAGAGTAGAGATAGAGTAGAATCTAGTCACTATCATCAGATAGTAGATTATAACTATTTTGAAAAGTAGGGATCTCAACTGCTTGTATTATATCTAGTTTATTATCAGAGTTATTTCTCAATTCTCTAATCTTAACAGAAGTTTGAGGATTCAAATTCTGTTTACATTTAACTGGAGAATTGAAGTTTGAAGATTTAGATAGTTGAGAGTTTCTTCTTTTTGAGCTTATAGTTGTAAGTCTACTGGCTTGACTCTTCTCTTCAGTTCTAGATTGACTTTAAGCTTCATCTTTTCTCCAGTTCTTTTGAGTTCTAGAAGCAAATGTACATTCTTTTGAGCTAGATGCATGTTTTTCTTTGCAATTAGAGCACTTAAGCAGAGTGTATTGACATATTTCACCTCTTTTTAAGCATGTTTCACATTTATGCTCACTAGTTTTGTGATCTCTGGCATAAAATGCACATTTTGAGTCTCTAAAATATGAGATTGCAAAGTATTCATATCTTTGACAGTTTGAACACTGTGTTTGAGCTTTGAGATTCATTCTTGAGTCTTTGTGTTCATGAACTCTCATTTTCAAACCTGCTACTCTTACTTCAGAGATCTTTGACTGTTCAAGTGTTTTTATATATACTAGAACAGAGGCATTTCTTCTACTTTGTCTGAACTTAATTGAATTTAGTCATACAGGCTCCTTTCTCAGTTGAATAGAGTTGTATTCTTTCAATTCATTTTTGAGAAGTAGCATTTCTTCTTCACAGTCAAAAATTTCAACTGAAATATCATGAAGAATGAATTTGTCTCACTTTTCATCTCTTTCAGATAGAATTGTTGTGTTTAGCAAAGATTCTACTGCTGACTTTCAGAGATTCTTATTCTGAATAAGGAATTCAGCACTGAATTCAGGCATTGTAGTCAGAATGATGAAGTTTTCAAAGAATGATAACTCAATTGAAGCTATAACTGGTTTTTGAACTTCAATATCAGTCATCAACTGAGAAAAGAACTGCTGATTAATTTCATTTCTGATTCTGAAAATGAGATTTGAGTTTAGCTTGTTTCTTTGCAGAATGTCCTGGTTTGAGACTTTGAGAATAAGTCTTCTATTTCTGAAGATTTGAAAGTTTTTCTCTTTTTGCATTTTCTTTTTCACTTTTCTATGAATAGAGGTATGAGCAGTATTCTTCTCAGTTTTCTCAGGATTTTGAGCAGGTTTTGAGACAGCAGGTTTAGAGACAGCAGATTCAGCTGCTTGAGCATATGTTTTCTTCTGATTCAAAGAAGAAGAAGAAGTAGGAAAAAAAGAAGAAGAGCAAGATGAAGAGTCAGTGATTGTACTAGGAATTTTCAATGTTTTTTGAACTGTGTTTGAGATTCCAAGTTTGAACTTGATCATCTCCTGTAGTTGTCTAGTCTGAGCATGAAGAATTAACAGAACTTCTTCATTCATCTCACTCAGACACTGCTTTCCAAGAATCTTACTTGCTTTTTCAAGTTCCTGTATTTCAAGAACTTGTTGTTTCTCTATTTCTTCTTTCTTTCTTCTCTTCAGAATCATGCATCTCTTGCATTATTCAAGTATATAAGAATTCAGAGTGAGAGACTCAGCATCATTCACAGAATCATAGAGTGTTATTATTATTGATTGAACATTCTGAGATATTGATTCTTATACATAGTTCTGAGAAAATCAGAATGCTTCTTAATATACTGCTTTAATAAGAGTCTGAAGAAGTTCATTCATCTGAGCTGCTGTATATCACAGTTCATTCAGTGTAGAAGAAGTGAAGATATCAATGATAGTTCTAACTGAAGAAGTACATATAGTGCTATGAACTATTTCATCTTGATTAACTAGTATCTTCAGATTCAAGAGCCAGTGCTCTCAGTTCATTCAGTGAGTATCTGTTATATCAGATGATATATCTTGCTCTTATTATAAGAGAGCATCTGTCATTGAGTTCTGACTATCAGAACAGTAGTGTATTATAAAATGAAAGCAGCTTAAGAACTCAGATTATTACATCTGTCATTCAGTGAGTTTACAGATAGTTATGAAGTATTTGAAGTTCTTATGATCTATAACTATCTCAAATTCAGAGACACTTCAGAGTTCAGAGTCTCATTCTTCTAAATAGTATATAATCATGAGAAGTTTCTTATTATAGATTTCATAATTGTATTTAACAGAACTCAGTTTCTTAGATATAAAGACACATGATTGTAGAACATCTTCATCATTATATTACAATATTACTTCTTCTATTATATAGTCAGAGAAATCAGCTTCAACAACTATCTTACAATCAGAATCAAATATTATCAGTAGAGAAGTATTAATAAACATCTTCTTCATCTGTGTAAATGCAGCTTCAGCATTCACTGACTATTGAAATACTGAGTCTTTCTTAGTAAGATCTGTAAGTGGTCTCACAATATCTGAGAAGTTTCATATAAATTATTAATAGAAGTTAGTAAATCTGATGAAGCTTTATACATCTTTCACAGTACACAGAGCTTCTCATTCAAGAATAACAGAGACTTTCTCAGAATTTATTCAAATCTTCTTATCAGCTTCTATAATAAAACTCAGATACTTGATACTCTTGACTTTAAAATCACACTTGTTAATATCTATCAGTAGTTCTACTTCTTATAGCTGTTGTAATATCTTTCACATATACTCTTGATATTCTTTGCTGAATTCATCAGTGAAGATGAGAATGTCATCTAAATAAGAAGATACAAACTTATTAAGGAAATCTCAGAGTACTCAGTTGATATACTTCTGAAATATACTGAAAGCATTAGTCAGTTCAAAGAGTGTGACTATTCATTCAAAGAGACTATAATATGTTCAGAATACTGTAAGTTATTCATCTTCTTCAGTAATATGAATCTTATGAAACACAGTGATAATATCTAGTTTTATAAATCATTGAGCTCACTTAATCTGTGCTAGAGTTTTATTGATGAGAGATAAGAGATATTAATCTTTCTTTGTCAATCTGTTCAGATCTCAGTAGTTCACACAGAATCAGAGTTCTTCACCTGATTTCTTTATAAAGAGAATAGAGGCTGCAGCAGAAGAGTTGCTAACACATATGAATTCTTTATTTAACAGAGTATTGAGTGTCTTTTGAAGAAGAAGAAGTTCATCTCAGAATATGTTATAAAGAGAGTCTTATGATGATTTGAGATTCTTACTATTCTTTTTCTCTAACTTGATACTGTGATTCACTCTGAGATCTTGTAAGAGAGATATGTTTATAATATTATCTTGTTGAAAGACATCTAGATATTCATGATATTATTGAGAGAGTTTTGTACAAGAATTTGTTATTATAACATGAGATAATTTTTCTAGAGTCTTTTTGATATTGATCAGACTGATGAAATAGATTGATATATAGTTCTGCTATCAGTAATTCTTTCAGCAACTTCTTTTTCTGAGCATTTCATAGACATTGACAGAGATCTGTGTCAGATCAATAGTCTTGTGAATATCATCTTCATGAATTCTATCATTGTTAGAGAATATCAAGCTTCTGTTTCAAGTGTTTAATAAGATATCTTATTCAGATAGTCAGGCAAGTTCTAACATAAGATTGTAATCAAGATTATCAACTTCATATACATAGGTATTTTCATGTTGATGTTCTTTCACATCTATGATCAGCTTTATCATATAACAGGTACAAATGTCTTTTGAATCATCAAATTCTGTGAGAAGTCAAGGCTTTGATAAAGAGATACACTGAAGGTTATAATATCTTACAACTGAAGATTTTATCATTGTATAGTAACATAGACTGCTGTCTATCATGACTTTCATATTATACATATTATCAATCACAGTAGATACAAGAATCACATTCATTATTATCTTCTCTTCAAATTATTATCATCTGATCTCTTCAAGCTTCTGTTTACAAATTTGAACAGAAGCTAATCTTTTTTCTGTTTCACTGAGACATTCTTATAGTTATCTTCTGAATCTTTCTCTAATATAATATGATTGATATGAACAGATGCTGATTCATTCTTTAAATGAGAAGACACTAATCTTTCTCTTAAGTATGAAAGCATATAGATCAATCAGCAGTTAAAAGCAATGTGTTCTGATCAGTTACAGTTGATATACACTTCATATTAACATTGATCAGTGACTTCTTCAGAAGTGATCTCAGAGACTCAGAAGCCTGTCTGAATAGTGAAGACTCTTGCTTATATGTAGACATTTAAGTCTACTCAATTTATGACATCTGCATTATTGTTATTCCTCAGCATGAGTGTATAAGTCACTGAGATATAACATCTTCTATCACTGTTCTGTATATTCTTGAGCTTAGTAAGACAGTCATTCATTGTTCAGAGCTGTGTGTAGAAGTCTTTATAAGTCTGGTCTTCATCTGCACTTATAAGAACTTGTAAGAGTTTGAAAGTTAATGTCTTCTTAAGCATGCTAATCTTCATTTGATTCTCTCAAGATTGATCATCTGCTTCTAGAATCTTAGTGTTGAAGTCAGAAATGAATATTATAAGAGAAATATTTCTCTGTCAGACACTCTGTAGTCAATCTAATACTTTCTATTGTATGACAGTGTCTTGAAACAGAATATCAAGATATTTCATGATATTATCAGATATTCACAATACTGATTCACATGCTTTCATTCATGAATAAAACTTCTGTTTCATGTGATCTTTCAATTGTTCATTGATATATTAATCTTGATTAATTAATAAACTGATGATATCTTCATCTACACTCAGTTTCACAAGCATTTTCATTCTTTATAATGAGTAGAGAGTGAGATCAGAAGTATTAAAATATGCAAGAGCATCTAAGCATTCTTTCAGTGCTTTTGTATTTGATTCTGTAGATGTTGAAATTGTGTGAGTTAGTCATTGAATCTCTTCATATTGACATTGTTGAGTTGCATGCATATCAGCTATTTATTGTTATTGTAGTTTCAACATTGCTCAGAGTCACTGTGACACTGTGTCTATGCTTATATTCAGAGATTCTCTCATATTATCATTAGATATGATTATATCATTTGTTGAATGTGTGATATCTGTGGAATTTGAAGAAGTATAATCATATGAATATCTCATACATCTGAGTATCAGAACTCTCAGATCTTTCACTGATATTCTCTTTATAGAATCTTATTACAGAGTCAGAGTGACTGATGAGCAGCTTCTATCTGAGAACTCAGTATTCACTTAACTGTTTCTCTATTTCTTACATATTGTTATATGTTCAGATATCTCTTGATAAATAATTATTTCTGATGAGAAGATAATACATGAATAATTGTTTTCTAATAAGAAGACAATGAACATTTTTATAGTGTAAGAGGTCTATGCTGAATAGATCAGTATAATATTAATAGATCTTATATAACAAAGATAAAAACATTAGAGAAGGAAAGAAAGAGAAAGTGTGAGAATTGATGATCAAGGTGAATATTTATACACATATGTGGTGACGTACACAGTGGAGCTTCAGAGCGGGAGAATATACGCGCGTTTGTAGCAGCTGAGGATCAGCAATCAAGAATGGCCGAGAATCGGAGCGTATGCATTTGAGAATGAAGTGATTGGAATCTGTGAAGTGTAATGAAATAGTCTATATAATTGATCGGGCGCAGCCTGTCACAAAGATAATAATTATAACTGTCTACAACTTCTATCACTTTATACTTAATATAACAGTAATTTAGTGTATAAGATGAGTATGTGATTTATATATTCTTAAGATTTACTTATATCAGATCTTCTATCTTATATTACTCAGTAGAGTCTCAGTGAGTATTAATTCAGTTCTTTTAATCTTATTTAATACTTGTTATAAAGATCTCTGCTCAGTTGTAAGTATCTTGAAGCTTTATTACTATATTATCAGTGATCTGAATTGAACTGCAGAGGTTCAGTATAAACTGTGTAATCTTTAGAAGATTTAACACTTCTATATAGTAACTATATGCCCCGGTGGCCGAATGGTTAATGCGGCCACCTGGTAGCGCCTTGGCGTGGGAAATCAAGGTGCGTGAGTTCGAAACCCGCAGAGAATACATTAAATCTGAAACTCAAGCACCTCAGGTTTCTAATAAATACAGAGGTGTATAAATCACTTCAATGAATTACTTCATGTTTCTGAGCTGAGAAGTTATTATCACATGTATCTAATTATTACTTCTTTATATTTTTCTATGTTCTTATTATCTTAATATAATCTTAACATCTGTATTTTCTTCTATATAATTAACACTTAATCTGTAT